ATGGACATGAGTTTGGGTAAACTCTGGGAGTTGGTGATGGACAGGGAGGCCTGGTGTGCTGAGATTCATGGGGTCACAAACAGTCAGACACGACTGAGCGACTGAACTGAACTGAACTGAACTATTTACCTCAATCCCATTTCCCGCTCCCAGCCTAAATCGCAGGCTTGAAAATGACAGCTCACATTCCAGTACTGATACTGGAAGAAGAGAATGGGCTTTATTCTGAAAGAATTGTAACTTTTTGTCTGAACTGTCTGGTGACTTCCTAGAAAACCTTCTGAAAAGTTTTGCCTTTACCCTGCCTCACTCATAATTTGCCTACTATGAAGCTGTTACTCTAATTTATGCAAATATTTACTGGAAAATGTTTAGAAACTCCTGAGATAACAGAAAACTGTTGGGATACACGATGGAGTAACTACAAACCGAGTGAGGAAAGGTTGGGGAATGGGAAACAGCTTTGAGAGGCTCTGATGAACTCCTGGGAAGGTCCAAGGCCATGGGCATGCTCAGGGAAGGCCGAGAGAAGGCCCTACGTTCTCACTTCCGGCTGACTTCCAAGCTCTGTGCAGACAAGAACTGAAGGCGCACACAGAGGCGCAGGCTGCCTGGGTGAGTGTCCAGTGTGTGCTATTCGTCCTCCCTCCACGTGCGCCACACACAGAGCACCTCTGTCAAGGTGCAAAGGCTGGGAGATTTTCTGGGTCCAGGCATTTAAGTAAAATCTCGGTCCAGTATTTAGCAGATGAATAGGCTAACCTAACAGAGATTCCTGTGGCCACACATGAAAAAGAATAGACTCTATAAAATGAGTCACTATTAAACAACAGCAAACAGCAATAATCACAAATCCTGGGGAGGTGAGAGAATCTGACTTCCAGGAAGTGCCACAGTATTCAGTATTTCAACAACAAAAAAATAAAAGGCAATGAAAAATTCTAAATTAAACTAAGGAAACAATTCCATTTATAGTAACATTAAAAAATTTAAAATACTTAAAAATAATTTAACAAGCCTGATACTTACACTGCAAGCTGCAAAACACTGTTGAAAGAAATTACCCTAAATAAATGGAAAGGCAACTCACATTCACAGATTGGATGATGTCTAAACAGCAATTGTAACATGTATAAATGGCAATATTCCTTAAACAATTTATCGATTCAACAAAATCCCAATAAAAATTCCAGCTTGTTTTTTTTTTTTTTACAGAAATGGATAAGCTCATTCCATAATTCAAAAAGAAAGGAAAAAGGTGTAAAATGCCAAGACAATCTTAAAGATGAAGAATAAAGTTGTAGGAGTCATAATTTCCAATTTTTAAAGTCACTAAAAAGCTACAGTAAAAAAATAAATAAATAAGCAGTCTGGTGCTGGAATAAGGATAAGATACAGATTAACAGAACTGAACTCAAAGTCCAGAAATAAACCCACATGTTTAGTCAACTGATTAACAACATCATTGGACGAGGACAGGGAAATTTGCCTTTATGACTGTGGGGTGTGCTTGTCAAGTTACACTCTTTACTAAAGTACACAAAATAGCTGTAGGGGTAGTTCTGCTACAATATGACCAAAGACCCCATCACTGTGGGTGGTCTGGCACAGTGAACTAAAAAGAAATTACCATCTAGAGGAGCCAAACACATAATTCTATGATAGTTTTTACTGACTCTTCACATACCTGAGGTAATATATAAAGGCTGCAAACAGACAGCAATTAAAGTAGATAAAATCTAAATTGTGACTCCTGAAGTCTGAGACAGAGAAACCTGAAATGATAAGTCAGGGATGGAAGAAAACTAATGACCCTCAAGTTCTTCCTCAAGTCTCAACCAGATTTTTAAGAAATAAACTGCCAACCCCTCCTATTTTGAGGGGAAGGGTATAAACACAGAAATCAGAAATGACTTAGCTCAGAGACTCAGCTTTGTCTGTAAAGACAAAAAGTAAGTAGAGAGACAGATTCAGAAGAAAAAGAATTTAAAGCAAAGTATTGCATTCATTCATGAATAACTTTGTTTTGACATTAAGATATTCAATAATTTTTTTTGGCATACTTCCTATTAAATAAGATCTGATGTGTATGTTGACAGTATTTAACAAAGTTCTGGTATGGGGGGGCACTTACATTTCACTGAAAGAAGATTATAAACGAATACATATCATAACGGGTGGTAGCAAATGCTATGAAGCAAAACTAAAGCTTCTGTGTGAGCTAATTTTGCTGCTCTAACAGACCAAGTTGAACAGTGCTGAGACCTCAGAGCTCTGCATTTTGTGCCAGTTAATCTTTTTGGAGGTAGCTAGAGAATTAAGTCTCAGAAACAATTTTCTATTCAGACAGGCACTTTCCAAGTGGAAAAATAGAAGCATTTGAGACATAAAGCTTCCCTTAAAAAGATACTTTAAAAATTACTAGTCTTAGAAGAAATGAAATTCTTATACATGCTACAATATGGATGAACCTTGAAAACATCATGGCAAGTGAAATAAGTCAGGCATAACTGGACAACTATCATATGACTATCCTTACATGTAGTACGGGAATAGGCAAATTCACAGAGACAAAAAGTAGAACAAAGGTTACCAGGCACTTAAGGGAGAAGGGAATGGGTTTCTATTTGAAACGATGAAGTTCTGGAAACAGATAATGGTGACAGTTTGATGAGACTGTGAATATATTTAATACCAATGAATTACAGACTTAAAATGCTTAACAGAGCATTACCTTATATTTTACCTCAATAAAAATTACTTCCAAGAAGTTCCTTGGAAAAGAATGCCTCCGCAAAGTGTCCAACAGCTGGGCAAGAGAAGAGTCTTTATAGAATACAGGAGGAGACTCTGTGGGCAGTGTGGGCAATGGGAACAGCATCAGGAGACTACTCCCCCCATGTGACTGACCATCTTTCACGGCCAACCTTGGAGGATAAGGATGCTACTTCATAAATGGAGTTGGAAAGTTTCTTTACAGGTCTATTTCTTATGTTTAGAATAGCTTTGAAAATTACTTCCCTCATTTTATCTCACCCCCAGAATTTTTCTGAAAATGGTCAAAAGCATAAATGCTTAAAATAAAAGGCACAAAGTATTAAAATTACTAACATGGTCATTCCTCTTACTGATAAAAACATTATTAGAAAAAGGTATCTATTGTTGAGTAAAAAGACATCCAAGTAAGAGTAAAATTTAACTAGTGAGAGAACATGGTCTAAAGAGTAGTTTAAAAAAAAAGAAAACCTGGAGCCAACAAACAAGTAACTTATAAAATTGTCCTAGAAAATACAATGGTCCAACTAACAAATAACGAATGGGGTTTGTCTTCAGTCTGAGGTCTCTGATGTTCAGGGAATGCAGCAGTTCTTTGGTGCTGTTATCAATCCCTGATTCCTGAATGGCTGACTAACTCTACAGGTGGGAAGATTGTTCTGGCAGGAAAAGGAGGAAGTAAGCCATTTCCTCCTATTAGGCCATACCATGGACTATTTTTGTGCTATAAGGAAGGAAAAGTGATGTGATCAGATTTCAAAAAAATTCACTTAGGCTGTAATACATGGACCAGACCATCAGAAAGCCACTGCAAATTGTTGGGCAAGATTTTCACTATATTAAGGTGGTATTCATATATTCCTCAGATATTAGCCATTTGGTATTTTGTTGCTGTTGCTTAGGCAGTTATTCCGTTGTTCTCGTTTTGTTTTTATCTTTAAAGCTGCAAAGGATACTGAATGAGCTGAGTAGATATTCTCCTGAGGAAGTACAGAGAATACAAGAAAGGGGAAAGCAAGATCTAAGGGGGAGAGGGAATGAGTCTGTAGTTATACTTTTTCTTCTCACTTCTATAACCTCTTTCAAAATGCTTAAATTAATTCTAAAGTCTGCCAATATCTGGTTTTAAGTCTTAAGTATACTAAAGATTTTAAAGTAAGAAATTACAGGGGCACCTACCATGATAGAAGAATGTCTAATATCCAGCGCATAGGTATCATCCCAACTACGTGCACTTAATTTTAAAAACTTGCTCATATCCTCTCCTTTGATCCCAAGACTGCGAAGGCCATTCATCATTTTTCCTTCCAGTTTCAGCACATCCAAAAGACTTTAGATAAAAAAAAAAAGAAATGTTTTATTTTGATTTGCCAAAAGTTTTTAATTAAATCCTTTACAGTTCATAGATATCTCAAAGCATTAGAAACAAGTTTCTCTAGTATTTTTATTAATAGCAGAAAAACACATTATTAAACTCATTAACAAACAGGACAAGAATTTCTAATTAGTTATCCAGTGTAAACTATGCTGAGTTTTTTTTTAAGTTATAACAAAATCTTCTTTAAAGGGTAAGACATTAAGGTATATATATATTATATTCCTTCACCAAGGAAGTGAAAATATGTTCATTCCAGAGCAAGCCAAAAATGAAGGGAAAAAATACAACAGAGGTCACTCTTTTGATACAAAAAACAAGATCAAACATGACCTAAAATACAAAGTTTCATAAGAGTATGAAAGTTCCCATATGTTTAGAATACATATTAAAATTTCTAATTGCATATATAATAATTTGATAGCTCTTAGTACTACTGTTAGAAAGTATTATTGCTAAAAGTAACAACATCATCAATAAAAGACCTTACTGACAATCAGGGCAATTTGATACTTTAAACCACTGTTTATCAAGTTCACTCTGGCTCTCATAACAACCTCAGGAAGGCTCAAGAGATGCCAGTGAGGCTAAGAGAGATGAAACTTCCTGCCCAGGAACTTAGCCAGTGGACTCGCAGAGCTGAGACACGAAGGCCATCTGCAAAGACAGGTAAGGCTGTACAGACCATGATAAAGCATGTTCATGTTGGGGAAGGTAAAAATCTACTAGGCAAGGAGGAATTCTGATTATTACTTTTTGAAACCAAGTGTTTATATTTATTATATTTAACCCAAGTGCTTCATTCAAAAATCCATTCATGGAATTTACCTTGCCTTTCAGAAATGAACAGAATCAGAATAAAGTGATATATGGGCTTTAGATACAGTTCTTAGGGAGGACTATAGAAATCTACATTTAAAGAGTAGAGATCTAATATCTAAACTCCTAAGGAGGCTGTTTTAGAAGTGTTTCAAGCTGGCCTTTATGACATCAGCTCAGCATGTCTGTATCCTAGACAGTTCTGACTGTATTAAAAGTAGACTTTTTACCATTCCCTCCAAATGTATTAGAAGATGAGTGTGATAAAAAAAAAGCACCAGCTTGAATATCATAAATAAGCAATAATAAGATTTAGTCGGGGCTGTAACACTACACTGCATGTGGCTTCTTAAAGTTCTTAATCCCTTTAGTCTAAGTTTTCTCATTTGCAAAATAAGAATTGTGGATGGCACTGCCAATGTTCTCTCCATTTAAAAAATGTTAAGATGCTTATTGAAGAGATATTTTTTATGTGATAGAATTATAATATTCTTCATAGCTTCTGTAACTACCATCTTTGCTATCACAACCTAGTTTTCAAGGAAAACTATCAACAGAAAAACTAGATAGAGCTATGAGGTATGGTACACTGAAAAGGGCATGAGATTTCAAACCCTGAAACTATTTGCTAGTTGTGTCCCTATCTTTATGTGAGATCTGAGTTGTTTCCCCATACATAAAAAGAGAACAGTAATAATCAACTGACAACGGTATTACGATTAAATGAATTTACTACTAAGCACACAGTTGCTCTCAACAGCACCAGTTTCTTCCTTGCTCTTTTCAAATCTTGAATTTTGGATACCAAATTTAAAAGAAAAACAACCTGGTTCTTGAAATATGATAGGTTTATAAGGAAAACTTATCTCTGGATTGTTAAATAATAAAAACTTTTTCATGCTTCTCTTTTAATAGTTACTAGGAAACAATAGAATGGAAAAGACTACAGAGATCTCTTCAAGAAAATTAGAGATACCAAGGGAACTTTTCATGCAAAGATGGCACAATAAAGGACAGAAATGATATGGACCTAACAAAAGCAAAAGATATTAAGAAGAGGTGGCAAGAATACTCAGAAGAACTATATAAAAAAGATCTTCATGACCCAGATAATCATGTTGGTGTGATCACTCACCTAGAGCCAGACACCCTGGAATGCGAAGTCAAGTGGGCCTTAGGAAGCATCACTATAAACAAAGCTAGTGGAAGTGACAGAATTCCAGTTGAGCTATTTCAAATCCTGAAAGATGATGCTGTGAAAGTGCTGCACTCAATATGCCAGCAAATTTGGAAAACTCAACAGTGGCCACAGGACTGGAAAAGGTCAGTTTTCATTCCAATCCCAAAGAAAGGCAATACCAAAGAATGCTCAAACTACCGCACAATTGCACTCATCTCACACGCTAGTAAAGTAATGCTTAAAATTCTTCAAGCCAGGCTTCAGCAATACGTGAACGGTGAACTTCCAGATGTTCAAGCTGGTTTTAGAAAAGGAAGAGGAACAAGAGATCAAATTGCCAACATCCGCTGGATCATCAAAAAAGCGAGAGAGTTCTAGGAAAAACATATACTTCTGCTTTATTGACTATCCAAAGTCTTTGACTGTGTGGACCACAAAAAATGTGGAAAATTCTCAAAGAGATGGGAATACCAGATCATCTGACCTGCCTCTTAAGAAACCTGTATGCAGGTCAGGAAGCAACAGTTAGAACTGGACATG